CCCCAAAACCCCAAAACCCCATTGAATAAAAATCACTAAGCATAAAAAGTTAGACAGAAAATTTAATATAAATTAAGATATATATACTTTTATTTTTAACTGCAATTCCAGGTATTATAAAGAAAGGTCTAAAAGTTTCAGTAAAAATAATTATCTATGATTGTATCTATCATTAGATATCTATGTATCTTGCCTCAATGAAGTTAATGAGACGAGACTTAAACTCTTCAAAGACATCTCTTGACATAAATATGTACTATGTTAAGATTAGCACAAATGATTTCCTTACAATTCTGAAGAACCCATTTGAATAGAAGCACCAAGAGGGGAGAGTAAGTACTGATTATTCCTCAAAGAACTTTAGACAGAAATCTTAATCGTCCTCAATGTCCTATTACGGTTAGACATTTAAAAACTTACTCTAAGCTTGTGAGAAAGAATCTTTACCATCATGAACATACCAGCACTTGTCCTAATTGGTTAGATACCCCTGATATTGTTTAAACCTTCAAATACATATTCAGCCATTGCTCCGAGTCTTGCATTTATTGAGTTGTAGTATTCCTCATTGTAGCATTCAAATAATTTAGGTAAAGCGTATTGCACAATTGATGCTGGAGGGAAGATCATCTTTTATATGTTGTCCAAGTGATGGAGTACCTTGTCAAAATAACCATGTCTGTTATAGACTATAACCCAACCGAATCTCCATCCTGGAAGAAGGCAAGTCTTGGATAAGGAGTTAATACTCTAATTGAATTTTAAAGATAGTGTTATAAATTACCAAGATAGGAACATCCTTACTAAGATTTGCAAATGGATGATATTCTTTTCCTGGATAGACTATTCCAAAATAGACTTCATCAGCTAGGATAGGGAGCTTATACTTGCGGGCAATTTCTAAGATTTTAAGCTAATGCTCTTTATTAAAGACAGAACTACAAGGATTGGATGGATTAACTATATATATCGCTTTTGTTTTATGATCAATCAGTGATTCTAATTGCTCAAGGTCAATCTCCCAATCTTAATCGGACTAAAAGAAATTATAAAGATCGTCTCATATATACCAATAAATTGTATTAGCGGTACTCAATTCCTAGATTTTGGCAAATAGTGACTGCCAATGGGAAAGTTGGATTAGGAATAAGAATATTATCTCCTCTGTTACAAAGTACTGACATTGAGGCAAACATTGCACCATGGCAACCAAATGTTAAAAAGACGTCTCTTGGTGTGAAAGGAAACTCTGGATGAGAATACCTTTGAAAATTAGGATAAAGGATTCTTACTTTGTAACAATTGCCTATCTAGCCTCCATTGCCCCTTAATGATGCGTGTAACCATTATATGCACCTTTCTCAATAACATCAATTACAGCTTTGTTTAATTCCTTTGGAAGTATATAACCGTTTTCACTTTTAGGATCACCTGTAAAAGTAAAATGATGTTATATTACCTAAAGCAAGATTAAGTACAGTCTTTCCATTCTTAATTGGCTATGTTGGGTCAAATTTAGCCACCTCAAACACGAAATATGGCATAGGCTACTTCATAGATGTCTACTTTGAGGGCTCAAAGCAAATTTGATTCCAGTCAACATCACTCTTATCTAGATCTTAAAGACTTTTACATAGATTTTCATCACTTAATATCGACAATTTAGTGTCCCCTATTGATTAGGTTGAATTAGTTGAATGACTCTTTGCTTATGTTTTCTACTGTAAATACTCAGCGAAATTTCCTCTAAAGACTTCATCTACAACCACTAATGATCTTTGATATTATTATTCATAGTATTTGGCTCTATCACTTGAAAACTTTTCAGAGATTTTTTCCTATTCACCTTCGTGCCTCTTAATAAGCTTATTGAATTAATAACTGTCCTCTGTTAAATTTGTAATTGAACTATTTCCCTCCAAATCAAGATATCTCGTGGATACGTCACCTAGTAGGTAGACATTTTAAATGCAAGCTGGCTGAAAAGATGTGAGTTCAACAAGTCTAGTAGGTCTGCCTTAGAGTGAATAGTTATTGAGATTAATCTTCTTGCCTAATTCTGGATATTATTAAGTGAGAAATTCCCTCACTTATTGATCTGTAGTGATGCTACAAATAGTTTTCCTGTTGCTTAAATAGGGGATATAAATGTCAAGATACGTCAATTCACCAATATCTAAAATTTTTATAAGCCCATCGCCTTCCTTAAATAACTCTAGTGATGAATTGCATTAAATTTCATTATTTTGTAGAATTTAGCTGTTCTTTTCTTAAGGGACACTTAATGTCATTTATATTTGAGCTAGATCTGAATACTTATTATTTTAAGTAATAGAGCCTCCTATATCCACTAGCTCCTTTAAGATTTTTTAATTTTATGCTCCTGCTAATAATACCATATCATAAGATTCTGCTATATCCTACAATGACCAATCATCTGCTGCTGAACCTTCATCGCTAAATAGTAATGAAGAAAATAATTCCACCTACCTCGGTTATTGGGTATCATCATTACAAAGCTTTTTGAATTTATAAGCGATCTTCACATTTTAAAATTCTGATGTCTATTGTCTTAAAATCCTAGATAGATCATTCCTATTTATAAGTACATAGCAGTTGTCATTCAAGTCTTGAATCTGCTCATCCCCGTTTTTGTGAGTTTTGAATTGGTTTATCAGTTGTCCTTAGGATATGATAGCATCATATAAATTCTAAATTTTGAGTTGATCTATGGTTTTTTTAGCCAATAATACGCATTCTTCATCATTTTTATGGTCCATTTACAAATCTAAAATCTCAACCTCTCTGTTACTACTCGCTAAACTCACTGCTACAAATAGACTCTCAATATCTCTACCAATAATAGCTATTTTTTCTATCTTTGCTTCCATCTCTCTTATTAAATATGTATGAGTTATAAGTTTTTAAAATAATGATTTTATGAATTCTGAAATCTTCATTCAATAGACATTTAAGGGGTTTTGGGGTTTTGGGGTTTTGGGGTTTTGGGGTTTTGGGG